GCCCATCATATTTTCACAGATGGCAGGGCTAGTTGGCTTTTGATTACTTAACCTCTTAGTGTTGGCCAGACAGAAAGCCCCATGTGAACATTTCTAGACTTTACACAGAATTTTGTAAAAAAATCTTTTGGCATATGAATCTTTGCTTAGAAGTCAGGGCCATTGAGCCAGCTTAAGTTTGATTTAAAATTTCTTAGTTTTTCCCTTGGAACTTTGGAGCCATTTTAACAAGGGTAAGAATATTTGCTGTCATGCTTAGACTGTTGTAGAATAAGAATGGATAGTCCAGAGTGAGGAGAGGGTGTTGGAGACTTATGGGGAGACTGGGGCTGGAGAGATGGCTTACAGGGTAAAGGCAATTGCTGCCGAGTCTAATAACCTGAGTTTGATCTCCAGGACTGTCGTGGTGGAAAGAGGGAATGGACTCTGTCAAGTTATTCTCCAACCACCATATACATACCGTGGCATACACCTCTCCTCAGAATAAATAGACATGATTTTAAATCTTCTCAAAGGAAAGGGGAAGGAGACAGCAGAAGCCCGGGGCAGTTGTGGCCAACAATCCCAATCTCTGAGAGGAGCAGGAAAAGGGGAGGTGACTTCATTCTTGCCTATTTGGTGGCCCCTGAAGAACCTTCTCTAACCAGCACCAGGTGTCATTTCTTACTTAGGTCAAAGTGACCAATAACTGGCCTTTCAGCCCTGAGGTAGCATGTCAGGAAAGAAATTCTATGGTGGGTATTCTAAAACTTTTAAAAAACGACTGGGCTTCATCCAAAACTGTCAGTCTTTCCATTGCTTTCAAAAGCCCTCACATTAATTTCAGGCTATCAACTTCATTTTGGCTGAAAAGTCAACTTTGTGTTATCAATTACATATTTCAAAAAAAGTCTGATTCCCTTCTAGCACGCAAATAAAAAGACTAGCTTTTGTCTTCCCTTATAAATCCCAGTAGACCTGAACACTTGCAGGCTCTGCTGCCTTAGGAAGCCGTGTTTCCCGCTGTCAGTTGGAGGGAAGTGGTCAGGAGATTCTCGAAGAGGGGTTACTCTTGGGGAGCTAGTTCTTTGTCTCCTTTTGCAAATGCTTACATCTTACCAGCACAAATTTGAAGCTGTATGAAGTTGGGTTGTTTGTAAGAGACATTTGAAAGACCTGATGCTGGAGAAAGGTGCTGCTAGATTGTCAGTCCGAGAAACGGAAGTGTCCCGGAAGCCCTGCGAGCCCGGAAATAGCCCACACTGCGATTTATTTTGGCAATTTTACTTAAAACTATTAAGATCTAGCATCCATGCTACAGTTAATTTTTCCCCAGGCACCATGGAATGAAAACACATATTATATTTGATTTTAACTGGTTGAGAAAAAAATGATTTTTTTTCTGAAAAGTCCATTGTATGACCCTGAAATAAATATTAACAGTTCTTCAGATGTGGCAGAACTGGACTAACCATTTCATTTCTAATTCTTCAAAGAATCAAGTATTCTTCAAGCTGGGAGGAATCTTAGACCACTGAGTTCTCTTCTGTCATATGTTGGAGAATATGTACTCACTGGAACTGTTGTCAGACTTTGGCTTGACATGTTTGGCAGCATGTGATACTTCTACTCCAGGGAACTTTTCTATTGCTCTAATTTCCAGAAGTACAGTGATACTAGCTAGTATTTCAATAGTGCTTATTATGTGCAAGCACCACTTTGAGTACACACACACACACACACACACACACACACACACACACACACATACTTATATGCATACACATGCACAAATATAGATATATCTATATATACTTTCAGTAAGTTCTCACAACAGCTGTATGGGGTAGATTCAGTTGTTACCATATTGAGAGATAAGGAAACTGAGACATAGATGAGCTAGAAGGTTTGCCCATGAGTAAACACACTGCTAGTAAAAGAGATTTGAGTTGCATTAAGGCATTCTAAAGGTGTTCTGTGTCCTTAATCTTGATACTATCCTGCTTCTCCGACTTGTAAGCTTTATGCCTCATTTAGACATTTACAGTCATAGATCCTCAATTAACTTGTCTCAGAATTGTGATTCCTTGTGTATTTTAATTAGCTTTAAACACAATTATCAATTTGCCCCAACACAAACACTTGAAGCTGAAATATGGGGATTGTAAATAAGGAATACTACTTTGTTTACTTCAAGAATACTCTGGGATGGATGACAGTCACCGTGAAGTATTTAGCTAATCACAAACTGTCACATTAAGTTTTTGAGCAATTTTAATTCAAGCTAAAGAAGGACATTTCAAATATGTGAGATGTTAATAAAACTCCTTTGCCTTTCCTGGTTTATTCTGTGATTACCTCACTGTCCTCAATAGGAAAAGGAGGAATCAATCTCAACAGTTCTCTTCACTTTTTGTGGTCTTTTTTTGCTATAGTGTGTCTGCCTATATCACTCATTTATCCATCTAAACATTCATCTGTCCATCCATCCATCCATCCATCCATCCATCCATCCATCCATCCATCCATCCATCCATCTATACATCCTTCCACCTACTCAGTATTGTATGTTGTGCATATTCCTCTAATTCCTTGAGTATTACTTACTACTAAAATGATATGAAAGGACAATGCTTGATTATTTTTTCCTAATTCCTATTACATAGCAATGGCATGTAGGCAGGCATGTTAAGGATTGCTTTTAAATGGATAAAATCCATTTCAAGAAGAAATGTATTCCAATACAGAGTCTATGGCTATGAGAACTTATTTTAACTAGAAAGTCCTATTGGTTTCAGTTTGACTAGAATGAAGTTTATAATTAGATACAACCACACAAACCTTTCCATAGGACACAAATACTGAATTATTTTGCTGAACTGAGGTCTCTTGAAAAGCTATCTGTGTGGCATTAGTGACAGCTTTTACCTGAGGCTGGTGCTAAAGTGTGCTTGCTGTCTTGACAGAATGTAGTATCTCCTAATAATCTAGGATCGGTTTGCAATGATACAAGAAGTAGGTTAGCTTTCATTGGGGGTTTTGACACACATTTCTAACTGAACCTTTTAATCCTATTTTGAGCTCTGGACATCTCTATAATATTGAAGAAATCCAAGATTTTCAGTGAGCCATGGTGAAAAGGTGATCCTGGAGTAGAAAAAAAATATCAGGATCATAAAGGACTAGGCAAGAAAGGATGCTTTCTAACACCAGGACTTCTTGAAGTATGTTTCATAGATGAAATGTTTCACTGTGGCTTTCAGTCATTTTACCAGCCCAAAGGTCATCGTGAGCATGGCTGAATATTACCATCTTCTACACCCTCTTTGAGTTGTGATTCACAATCTGAATAACTTGAGATTTTTGCTTTTTGCTCAATGAAGATCTTGCTGTACTGATTGAATCAAGGGAAGTGAGTGCAAAGGTCACTGGGACCCACTTTCTGCAAGTAGAATGATACTGTCTTCACATTCAGAAAAATTCAGCATTCTTGCTTGTACTCACAACCTTTCTTCTGGCAGAAAAATACCAAATTGGGGGAGACTTCCAATGTCCCTTTCTTCTGTACTTCATTCACTCTGATGAAGTGTTGTTGTCTGCCCAGAAGAAGCTTAGAAATCAAGTACATTTCTACCCATGTCCAGATCTCCTGGTCTTTAAAACAAAGAGAATCAAATGGCTTCCAAGGCCTTTATCAGTGCTAACAGCACGATCTAGGGGATTTTCTAATGAAGAAAAAGCTTATAGGATTTGAGATTTCAACATCTAGCTCTCTCTCTCTCTCTCTCTCTCTCTCTCTCTCTCTCTCTCTCTCTCTCTCTCTGTTTTTGTGTGTGTGTGTGTGTGTGTGTGTGTGTGTGTGTGTGTGTGTGTGTGTAGAAAGAGTGAGGTAGCAAGGGAGAAAATGGATAGATGGATAATTAAAAATGTTTTGTTCTCCCTAGGAGATACAGTCAAATGATATAGTTTGATATCAGAAATATTCATTATGGGCTAACTGCTATCCTCTACCCCCAAATTCATGTGTAAGGTCCCAATTCCAAGTACCTCAAAAATAGAGTGCACTTAGATATATAGTCTTGATTGAGGTCATCAAATTCAAATGAGGTCATTAGGGTCAACCCCAATCCAGTCTCACTGATCTCTCAATGAAAACAAAATTTTGGACACTGAGATATGTAAGGAGGGAAGATTGTGGAGACACAGGAGGAAGGTCTCCAAGGAACTACACCTTGAATGTGGACTCCTAGAGCTGTGAGAGACAAAGCGTCTGTGGGTTAAACCACTTACTCTGTAGTCTGTGGTACTTTGCTATGGCAGCCATAGCAAACTCATAAAATTTTTATGTCTGATACCAAAGTACAAAATAAAAGTTCAGAGACCTTTTAGAGGTTACCTCAGAGTCTTTTATGTAAATACTGGATGCTCTTTGGCCTAAACCCTGGGCTTGACTAAGAAGCAGAGCTACCAATGAAATGCAGGGAAGAAATCTGGGAACTTCCATGACACAATACATGTTGCTGCGAATTTAGGGTTAATCTTTAACTCTGAACATATATTTACACGGGCAATTCTTTTCTAATAGATTTGTACAAAATTTGGAATGCATGCTGCTGATGCGATCTTTATTTGCATACTTTCTATTCTGATTTATTTTTTTGAAGAAGGGGAAGGGTGTATCTTGTTGGCATGTTTCTTAATTCATTTGTTCTTGATGGTCCCTTGTCACTTGGTACTTTCTGAGGTGTTAGGTTCTCCTTTTCCATTCTTTCCATGTATAATCGCCACATCCCACAGTAGGTCCTTCCGCCTTCCACCGCAGACGTTATCTAGCTCAGCCGGGCCTACTTTTCTTCATTGCCCCTCAGCTCCTCTCTCATCCTTGCCTTTACCACGTCCCTGTCGGCCTCTGTGCTCACACTTCCTAGCTCCACGCTCCCTTCTCTGCTCTTCCTTCTCTCCCCTGATTGGCTGGGTCGCTTCTGTTCCCTCCTTCCCTCCAGGGTGTGTCTTTGGCTCACCTTTCCTTCTCCTTTGGGGCTTCATTTTCTTGTTTGTAGATAGGGCCTGGGACTGCAAACATCACAAAAACAGTTGCATTGAGAATAGATGGTTCCTGTGCTGAAGACAGTTTTTGAATCTGCCCAGAATGCCTGGGCTCCATAGGAAAAAGGAGCCAGCTTTGGTGCTGGAAAGGGGTCTCTAACCCAGGCACCAGAGCTGACATTCCAGAGCTTTAGACCTTGTCTCTCATACCCACGTCCTCTTCAACTAGAAAGAATGAACATTTCTTTGCCCTTCATTCACACACTGGAATTCCTTCTGACTCTTGTGCCTACTGTGTTCTGTATATACCAACCAAGTTCCGAACAATCCCCTTGCATCCCCTGAGGTGACTCACTGGGGTGATGTCTCCCCTAAGACATCATGGTCCTCCTTCAACCTCAGCTGGGGTTTAGGACCAGGAAAGAGCAAAGGTGTCATTGTGAAATTTTAGGTCTCTTATCTTATGCTTTCCACACATGCTAGTTTTGTTTCAATGATAGAATCTACATGTTCACCATTTTTCTTCAGCAAAACTCCTCAGAACACCTAAGAGAGGGATGTTCCTTCCTTCCTTTCTCCTTTTCTTCTTTTATCTTCTCTTTATTTCTATGGAAGGACCATGATTTTACTTAGGCTCTGAAATGTTCATTCACTCATTCATTCATTAACAAGTGTATCAAGTGGCCAACATACAACTATGTTTTATCTGTTTCTGGTCACACAGATGGTGTTCTTGAGGTTGCTTTACAACAATTGCTTGGACAAAGGATGCCTTGTGTTTTGATCATTAGAAACATGTAAGCATTCCTACAGCCAAACAGAGTGTGCCCATTTTTAGTGTTTTTCCTTTAATTTATATTTGCCACTGTGAATTTCAAATAGGTCCTAGTATGGAGTCGTTCTGTATTTGGACCATTGTGGAACTCCAGGATGTACAAATTTTGTTACTAGATATAATTATGGCAAATGTTAATCCTGTCTAACAGTTACTTGGTGTAGGCATTCCACTTGGACATGGAATACATCTTAGAGTATATTTACTGAATTCTGACAACTTGCTGCAGTACATACTATCATCACAATTTCATTGATAACTGGGACTTGAGATGTTATTTGCCAAAGATGCCTTATTGGGCAACTTGAGTCTTGACAGCGTTAGTCCTTGCTTTCCACCGTCTTCTAAGTGTCAGGCTGTCCAGGGCAGTGAAAAAGATAATTTTGAGTAGAGAGTGATTCAAAGGATGGAGCTGTAAGCCATCCCATTGGCAGGATTGGAGCCTTTTGACCTGACATCTAGGAGACACAGGGCAGAATTTCCATTCCCCTCCCTGCCCCTGTATGGAAGAGCACTCAAGAATGACTACATTCCATCCACACATGCTTACCTTCTGAGTCTTGGGCATGTCAGTGTGGCGCTGGGCACGGATAGAGCGGGCTGTTTTTGTAGCCTTGAGGGGGGCACAGTACATCTCCAGCCTTCTCAGATCACAGCTCCGGAAGCAGCACTCGTCCACAATGCCTGTCTGAGGTGCCCTCCGAATGCTGGAGCCATAGCCTGTGGGCTTGTCTGCACAAATCAGAGCAGCTTGGAGTTAGACAACTTTGCCTGTGTTCACAGACTTCCATCTAACCCCTGATGCCTCTCTTCTCTCTACATCAGGTCTCTATACTTCTCCAACATGTCACCCTTTTCTTGAAGTACCTCCAATAACGTCTGAGCTAATATGTTCCTTTAGATTCCAGTATGTTCCCTGGGGTTATAACACACTCATGTGCAAGAATTCATTCACCATACACTTTTATTTATATTGTTCTGCCCATGTTTTAAACAACCCATGTTCAAGGATCCTGTTTATGGCCATTCCTATCACTCTTCTTTCTATTGTCTTAGTTGAGAGACCTTTGAGAGTGCTAGTCAAAACAAAATTTATGGATCATGTTTCTTAAAATTTTGTAAACATACCGTTTTGTTGTTAAATTGACAAGGTAATTGTATATATTGCAAGGGTACAGTATGATGCTTTGGAACACATATATACTATGCAATGATCAACTGAAGTTATTTAGATTCCATTATCTCAAACACTTGGGCAAGAATACCAATTAATACGTGATGCTGGAAAAATTGAGTCTTCTTAATGACTTTAATAAATGTGTACAGTTTTTGTACATAGGGCAGCTCAGTTGTTCTTTTCTTGACCATTTCTATTGTAAAATCAAATTGCATAGAGGCAAAGTTTGCAATCTAGAAATATATCCCTGTTTTATTTTGGGGAAATCTGAGACTTAGAGTTTGAAGGAGTTGCCTAAGGTCATTCATGCAGTAATCGGTGGAGTCAGGATTTAAACTCTTGACTGACTTGCTATTAAGCCCACAAGCTTCATGGAACCCAGACGATACTGTTGTGTAACTCCAGAAAAGTCACTTGAGCTCGGTAGGTCTCAATCTATTGTACAATGGGCAATAACATCTTTCTTGTCAGAACTGAGGATAAGATGAAACAATGTATTAAATAAAATAATATACTGCACCTGGTACAGAAGAGATCTCAGCTACTTATTAGCTTGTGTGCTTGGAGTATCTTTTCCAGTGTCTTAAAGGGGTTTGCACAATCACTCCAGAAAGCATGGAACAGCATTTCTGTTTCCTTACAGCAAACTGTTGGACTGGCATGGAAGGAACTAAATGCCAGGGAGAACACTGATATCAAACCTCCCTTGATATTTGCAAATCAATTAGACCTCTTTACTTGGCTAGGTTTTGGTTTGATTTGATCATGTTTTTGACCACACTTTTACTGGCTTTCAGAATTAAAAGAAAAGGTAAAACAAGCTTACATAGAAATTACCATGCACCCAAATGATCAATTTTTTGTCACCATACAATGTTTATGAAATCAAATGTTGTCTATATAGTAGTGTATCAAGCATACATAACATGAAGCTGTGTTGTCTTAGATTGGGTTATACAATTTTGATCTGTTCTCATCTCCCTTACATCCTTTGGGAGGTAGACTACTTATGATCTCTCCTTTGATATCTAGGCTTCATGAAAGAAATTTGTGAACCACTGACCTATAAGAATCCAATTAACAACCTGATATATGCTTACTCTTAATTCCTGACCCAAGAAGGCATGGCATTAAAGTCTTATAGTCACATAAATAATGACACAATAATAATGGGGTTCTGAAAGTCAAAGTTTTCAACGGCATTTTCAGCTTCCTCACTGGGGGAGAGTGAGGTCCGTGGCAATAGCTCACTATCACACTAGTTTGGCTGCCTCACTGCTGAGAAGGCCAACTGTTTATGGCATCCTCTAAGAACCCAAATGTTTTCCTGATGCTTGGCACAGGAACCTCGTTGCTGCTTCCTCATAAGGAAGGTTTATTCTCAGGGCAGCTGGCAGTAGTAACTTCAAGAGAGTTCCTTTGTGCTCTCTCTGGGAAGGGTCTGCTCTCTCTCACAGCAGACCCTATGGGCTGCTTGTGGTTGTGGGCTTGGGGAGGGACCAGGCGGCTGACCCCAATGGAGCCTCAGCAATGCTTTTACTTGTTTTTGGGTGGAAGACTAAGAGGGAAGTGAACTCAGGGCTTTTGCTTGCCAGCCAGGCCCTGGCAAAGTTGAAATTCAGCTGATCCCCTGGGCAATGTAAACAATGTTTTCTGTTTTCTTGTTTTTTATAATCTTTTCCTGGGACTATAAATTAGAGGAAAGACACAAATGGATGTACATGGCTCTTGTAACCCACAAAGGACTTCTATACAGTTTTATAACTGGCTAGCCAGTTAAGACTAGGGCATACATTTGGATTCTCTTTGCAGGTAGGGAAAGGAGAGAGGAACCTGTCTCTTTGCTATACCTATCACAATAGTAACCTTCAGGATGATTGTCCTTTGTTTATATACACATTTTCTTAAAAGGCATGCATAAAGAGTTACTTGTTGATTATGGAATAGTTATTAGATATTTAGGAGTGCAGTTGTAGGAGTCCTTCTAGAAACTTCCAAACACAGCTAGATAAAATACAACTGTTTTCATAACTCAAGCTTATGGATTGAAAATAGAGAGGGATAGATTGTGGATTCTAGGACCTATTTAAGATTTCTATTCCAAGCACTTCTCAATCTTAATTCTATGATCAATACTTGCCCCAAGAAGAGGATGCCAGTCATTACCTTGGGATAGCAGAAAGCATTTCCATACATTACATGACCCTTCTTGGTGACTCTCAAGAGCCATGAGACTACCACAGGTCTATTTCATCTTCTGAAATAATAACCATCACCACAGCAAAGAATAGCACACCACCATAGCAACTAGCTTGTTGTATGTCTCAGAAGAGCTTAGAGTTTGATGTAGTTTGTTCTAAAGGCAGCTGTGCTTTCCAGTCCACAGACTGATGGATTTTGAAGCAGAGTGCTTGAGGATTTTTATGTAATGTTTTCCATTAAGGAGCTTGATTTTATCTTATAACTGTATCTTCTTTTTGAATGCTATTGGAGTAGTTGTATACATGTGTGGATTTTCCCATGAACCAGTGAGTTCAAGCTACCAATTTTAGAGGGATGCTTTTCTTTGTCAATTCATAATGACTACAATGGACCCATTGTATTGTATTCAGAATTTATGAATGTAACAAATGTTTACCTGCTGCTTTTTAAAGCTTAATTAATCCTTTGAAGTGTCCTATAGGCTTGATTTCAACAATCATCATCTCTCAGCAATTGAGGGACCACAGTTGTGGGTAAAAGTTTCAGGTTTTACCTTCAACGATCTCATGTAAGTCTTTTTTGGAATAAAAGTATTTACTGTTATGATCTAAAACAGAAGCCTAGTGCAATACAATTTGTCATATAGGCAATCAAGCAAATCTCCCCAGCACCTATTGATATAAGTATGTATCTTAAACACAGCTAAATTACAGCAAATTTCATTCACTTTTTTTTAATGAGATAGAACTGGTTGCTACATCATTGCCTTTAAAAACTACTTATTACATATGTTTATTCTGATTGGCAGAATCAGAATTATCAGGTTAACAGAAAAAAAATTGGCTTAACATAAAAGATTTAAAACAATTTGAATAAAAATGTTAAAGAAAACAGACTTTCTTGAAATGTAATGAACTCCTCGCTATAGGAAGCAGCTAAGTAAAGGCTATACAAATACCTGTCATTGACCTTAGGAGCAGAATCCTATATTGGAAAGTGGATGACTACTGTGGTCCTTTCTATTCCAGAGAGTTTATAGAAAATCTTGGCTAGTCAGCATAGTTGGGAAACACATTGACTTCAAGGAAGAGTTTCAAGCATTTTCAAACTTAGAAAGTGAACATTTATCATTTGTCTTCTCCAGAATGCTCAAAACACTTCTCCTTGTTTCTACCCAATGCAGTGGTAAAGGACAGGTGACAAGGCCATTATCTTTCACAATGAGATGTAATCCAAGGGTTCTCTTACTGTCTACACATTTAACCATTAGATGGTAACATTCTGCAGATGTTTTGCTGATGAAGTCTTAACGTTGAAAATTTATACTAATACATTTATTTTGTCAATATCTTGGTTTGGCGTCGTCTAGAATATAGCTCCAAGACAGCTTAACAGACAAACTGGGCTTTGAGTAGGCATAAGGTTTAGGCATAACACACTGCTGTATTTTAAACATAGGCCAACACATAGACTTCCAATAGTTAAAGATCTGACTTCTATAATAGCAGTACTTTCCTTTAAATAATGCATGGTCATTGGAGTAATTCAATAATCTTCAGAGCCAAGTTGCTAGTTACAGGGGTTTGGGGCAGAACTGTAGTATCATCAAAACTACACTAATTAGCTGAGTATCACATTTTGTCACGGATGCAAGCAACTCACTCATCTCCATCTCTGAGGAGAAGCATGCACTTCAGAGATTTAACTGGGGTCTTTGTTTCTAGAACAAAGAGTCCTGCCCATCCATCACGAGTAAAGCTACCTCTACCCATCTTCACGAATTTGTGTTTCTCATCACTTTCTGAAAATGTACTTGAAGCACTGTACTTAACTTTGATTCTCTGTGAAATTTCCCCTTTTCTGGCTGTAAAAGCTCTTTAAACTCTCCATTGGAAAGAATGAAACATTGATTTTATGAATCAATATTTCAATAATGACAAAGGCAAGCATTTTCAAAACAGGAATGTACCTAGTTTTGAAGATATATGCTTATTCTTTTCTGGGTTACAAAGAATACAACAATTCTCTAAAACAATTGCTAATAGGAGAAAGAGGTACCAAAGTAGATTCTTTTTAAAATTAAATTAATTTTTAAAAATTGATAACAGGATGAAGGGGCAAAAAAATTCAAGATGGGGTTTGGAGGCTATTTCTAGAAAATTCTCAGTCACACACCTGATAGAAAACATAGATGGAATTATTAGGTAATAAACAATTGGCCCTTAACTTTTATTAGCTGAAGATTGATTATGTAACCAAATATCACAGAATCTGAAGGAATCAGAATACTAGTTTTCTTATATAAGTTAATTTTTTTGTCAACCTCTAGATTCACTGACAATTTAGAATAAGT